ACGCCACGCTGCTTTTGTTGGTGCTCTGGATGTCCCGGATCGGGTCCAACGGTGTTCTCGCTGTAGAGAGGAAGGCCACAATGTGCGCAACTGCAGAGTGCTCCCTCCCGGACTCTGAATTTTAGGCCACAACGACACCACTGACGAGTAGCAACAAAAAATGCAGCAGTAACAGCCTGAGCTTGAGAGCGTTTACCAATCTGCAAGATTTTGTCAACTAACAAGTCTCTCGGACGACCTCCTTTATTCTTTTTGGTGGGGTGGTTGTCCAGGTGGCAATTCAGGTTGTGCGGGCAGGGAGGATATCGGTCCTCCATGGAGGGCGGTACTGGTAGACTCGAGCTACCTTCGTACATGGTTTGGAAGAGTTGCGATATTGAATGTCTCAGACAATGTGCTATAAATAATTTTTTTTCTTTTTTTTTCAGGCAGAGATTTTCAGGTAGAGAAGGTGATGAGACCAATGCTCCAGCGCAGGTCTACCGCACCACATGAATAGTGTACCAGATGTCTATTACTAAGGCACCTCATGACCTGGTCTGTGCACGGTTGACAACTGATTTGGGCTGTGGCGCGGTTGTCAACCGGCTGCAAGGTTGCCAACCTACGGGTTTCCCACCCAGCTGACTAAGCCACCAGAATGGTACCAGCCGGATAAAGTTAGTGGGCGGTGTGCAGCCGCCTGCTGCGACCGCGTCTGCGAGGCGGCTGGCCGCGTCTGCCAGTGAACCATGCCGCAAAGCGAGTTGCGCTCGGTAACCACAGCAACGAGGCCTCCAGCCACAACTGACTAAGCGACGCTTTGCCCAAAGCGCTTTGCCGAAGTGTGCCGACAAAAATCCCGGACGCCGCTAGACCGGTTCCGTTCCGTTTGTCGTCGGCCCTGCCACACCTCGAAACAGTTAAGCCGGTGCGGGTATATGGCGAGGACACCAGAGTCGTTTCCCCCCCCAACAGGCGATCACATTTGCCACTTTACCTATCTTAGGGGGAATTCCCCACGCATACGACGTCCCTGGTGCGGGAAGCTGTTAATTTGGGGGTTTCGCGCAACTGTATTTCCAGGTACGGAAGGCGAAACGACAGTTTTCTGGGGTGTTACCTGTAGCGACCGGTTATATAGCGGTCGGTCAACACACGGCCCCCATCCTTGGGGTATTCCGGCCAGGGTTTGCCTGCCGACAATCCCTCTCACGGCCATTGCACTGTAGCCCCCTACCAGGGCGCAAGCCGCGCGCGGCGTCTTTTCCCGAAGACGTGAAATTGCGACTCGGAGCCAAGCAATTGTGCGGGCGGCGATAGACGTCGTGACGGTAAAGGTTACTTGGACTTGAAGGTGGCGGTGTTGAACTCGGATGGAGCGAGCTTGCCGGTGCATTGTCTGTCCTCGGTCGGTGTTCGGCCGGTTTTTCCAACGCTCGTGTGCTTCCAAATTCAAGTCTGCGCGCCATACTTCTCTTTCCGTTGTTGCGCGTGGCTGCACGCAGTCGATATCGACAAATCAGAGCTGTATCGCACCCCGGTATTGTGTGTGCACAGCGCAACCCTGTCCGATGTGCGGGTGTTCCTAGGCGCCATTCCTTCACTCGTTCCTTCAGGCCTATCCCGCAGGATATAAAGCCTTCTCTCTGCCTTCCCCGACGAAACCTCACCCTGGAACCACGCCCACCTTTGATCGGACTATCACAACTACCAGAATCAGAGGGCAAGTGAAGATGCGCTCTTCCTGAAGCCGCCAGAATCAGTAACCATAGACTCACTGCCATCTGCACCGTTAATCCAGCCCCGGCAACCCCAACCCCCAATAACCCTTCTACATTCTCCCTCTTTACACCCACCCATCATTACCGACAACTTCCAGCCTTCGTATCCAGCCGACCATGGGTAAGCGTTCGAATGTCTTACTGACGGCGGTACTGGGTCCTTGCTAACCGGACCGAAAAGCACACCGGGACAACTACAGCTGGTGGGGGAACCCTCCGGTTTCGACGCACGACCTGAATTCGAAGATTACCTAAACCTCGATCAACTCTTTGCAACACAGTTCTTTCCGTATCTTTTCCTCGGAGGCGACGAGTGAGTATCTCAATTTTGCCACGAAGAAACCAGCTGACCACATAACGAAGGGCCTGGGCGCTTGCGGCTTCGTCTGAAGCGGGCTATACATTGAACCTCGAAGACGATGACCCTCCGTTCGAACCATTAGGCGGCGAGAAGAACGGCAATGCCACCCTGTCGAAGTGAGTTCGTTGTCTCAAGCCACCGGACAAGGACAACGCTGACTGGTCAATTAGCCTGCCGAACATCAATATGCTGGCCCCAGGACCCCATCAAGGCCTGGCGATCTCTGCTGGCAGCCAGAATGTGAATTCGTGCAACAACTCCCCGTAAGCTCCTCCTTCTCCTCCAAATGGCTGCGACCTTTGTGAGCGCGACTAAATTGTGCAATCGTTAGTCTGCCCGCCGTTCCCGAGTTGAGTCGCACCCCCACTCCCGCTCCTGCCAGGTAGGTCTTTCGGCCTCGTATTAACGCTTGGGTGATTGCTGACGCCCAAAAAGCCCGGGTTATGCGCATCCACCACCACCTGCCGCACCGGCGACTCGTCACCGCGCTCATTCTGCTCCTTCCGCACTCCGCGCCTCTGTTGTGTATCCCTCGCCCCCCGCGCCTCCGGGACCTCTGGCAGTCCACATATCTCCCGCATCCTCTCGAGCGCTCACCGGTCCTGCTGTCCCCCCGGCCCCGGCACTTCTTCCGCCTCCCGTTCCTTCCACTATTCAGACACAGCCAGTACCTATTGCGCCTCCCTCGGGTTCCCTGTTTACGCACTTCTCGCCTCCGGGACCTCTGACAGTCCACACATCTCCCGCGTCCTCTCGAGCGCCCACCGGTCCTGCTGTCCCCCCGGCCCGGGCACTTCTTCCGCCTCCCGTTCCTTCCGCTGTTCAGGCGCAGTCGGCACCTATTGCGCCTCCCTCGGGTTCCCTGTTCGCGCACTTCTCGCCTCCCGTTTCCCCACCGCGCTCACCGCCAGCGCCTCCCCTATCTCCGCCACCTCCCCCACCGATGCCCCCCGGGCCGCCCCCGCCTCCACCACGAAAACGCCGCCGGCTGGACACGGCCGAAAACTTCACCTGCCCTCGGTGCGGGGAGCATTTCACGACGCCCACGAACCGCAACAGACACGACAGGGGGACGAGCTGCGGCCGGTCTGCGGGGCTGGCGGCGGGTGGTTTTCGATGCGGCCAGTGCGGGCGGCGGTACACGAGGTTGGATAATCTGAAGAAGCACGAGCGGGTGGCTCATGCGGCGGAGTAGTAGGTGGAAAGAAAGGCGGTTCGATCTTTGGGGACGGGATGCGTTTTTTTTTGGAGCTTTTAGTTAGTCCTTTTGCTGTTTGTTTGTTTGTTTTTTCCAAATTGCAAGGGGGGCCTCGGAGCTGTTTCCATCCCAAAGAATTGCATGGCCAAAGAATGGTAAATACCGAGTGAGATGCCATGTAGCTTTTCCTCTTCGGGCCGAAAGAAAGAAAGACCACGAGACGCGTATGCGAGGATTCAGCGTTGCAGCTCTACCAGACCAACTGCTAGGCGCCTGACACGTGGACGGCTTGTCGCGGCGCAAAAACCAGGCGCGCAAAAGGTGCGTGCGGCGGCATCGGGCCGCTGTGCGTCCAACGCAGCGAGCCGCCTGATGTGCAGGTAAGCCAGTAAACACTACGAATGGCGGATCGTGCACCGCCACCCTGATGAGGATGGTGCATCACTGGTTCTCGGCGGCTGTTCGTGCATCCGGTCATGATGTGGCTTTGTCACTGTCACCGGGGGGTGTTTTTTGAAAAACAGAAAAGTTGCTTTGAATTGCAAGGCAGGCCTCAAGGATTGCATAGGCAAGGATAGCTGGTTGAGTGGAGAGCTGGTTTGGGGGTTGATTCACGACGCATAGAGTCTTGGGAGAGCGCGGTGGCGCGGGCGAACAAAAGATGTAGCTCTACGTAGGTACCCGTACTACAGATACCTTATGTGAGAGAAACATCGGTAATGGAGATTACAAATGCAACGATCAAATCGCGTGAAGCGACGTCAAGGCTTAGGTGAGCGCAAACATGCGGCGCCTGGATACAGACATGTACGTATTCCCGACAGCTAGATAGCAGTCCGGACGCCCCAAGAGAAGAAGCGTGCATTCACGCGCACCACATCAAAGGCGTATGCGTCGATCTTCCATTGGTAGCAGACGTACTGAGGGCGCGGTGGCCTACTCGGGGAGGTGCCGAATCCCGCGATAGCCTTGTGCTGCCCGCAAAGGAAGGATGGATGACGAACAAAGCGGAACGGAAGGAGAGAAGAAAAACGATGTGGTGATGAGAACTCTGCTTGTCTAGGTAGCTACGTGTCAGCCACCAATTACACGAAAAATACGTGCTCCGACTAAAACCCTAACCACTGACAACGACACTCGAGCGCGAACACTATCGAGCGGCCCGGATGATGCCATGGAGCCGCAGATGAAGTGCGGCATCGCCATACCTGCCTCAAAAACGCCGTCACTTTCATGTCGCATGGTTCATGACGACAGGTATACAAGAGCCGTTGCAAAGTGATCAGTTCGAATTCCTGGCCGGAACCATTCTCTGGCAAACACCATGGAAAAGACCGAAGCCGCCGCCATGCATCCTCCTTTCCAACTTCGCCGCTCTCGACGATCCAATACTCGACGGATTTTTAAGTCTTGGGACACCTGAGAAACCCTAACCCACGATCGAAAAACGGAGAAAAATCGATATCTCCACTGGCTTGGCTCTAAAAATTGCGATTGCTGGCTCAAAATTAATGCGAAAGAGCCCTCGTCAGTTCTGGCAGTAAGATGCTCAGCTTATTTTTTCTTTGTGACGATATCGTGTTTTGCGTTGCTTGGGGCGCGCGTGGGTTAGGGTTTTAGCGTGTCCCAACACTCAAAAATCCGTCGAGTAGGTCGAAGCGGGCCGACGCAACAACACGGGGGTGTGGTTTAGTGGTATAATTCCTCTTTAGCATGAATTAAGCTCGCGTAGAGGCGGTCCGGCGTTCGATTCGCCGCTCCTCCAGGTCTTTTTTTCCAACCTTCTCTGGTTGGCCGAGCAAGCCTCCCTCCCTCGCAGTAAAATCAGCATCTTGCCTCGACATCAAATATCGAACATCATGTCGCCGCCGATCACAACCCCTCCATCTCCTCGTTGCCGCTCACCAGCCATTCTCGGCTTCCTCCTCCTCCTACTGCTCTTCCTCTTCGGTTGGCTGCGTAGAACCACGCCGGATATCCTGGAAGATTGCTCATTGATTTTACCAGGAATAAGCCGTCTGGAAGATCGCAGAGTGCAGGGGAGGAGAGGAGGGTTGGTGTTGTTGTTGTGGGGCTGACTTGGGGCGCCGCAGAATGTCAGATGTTCCATGAACACATCACCAAGGTGCTTACAGAAGCCTAGACAGACTTCCAAGGCACTCCACCCCCCGAACATGTGTCGCGTGAGATCCTGTGATCCATCGTGAGGTGTTCGACCTCCGCCGCATCACCACTCCGAGTAGCCCCTCGCGGCGCTGCGTGCCCACCAACCCGTCCCGGCACCGCCCAACTTTCACGCATTTCGCGCCACCTCGCGCATGCCTGTGACAGACCCCGATCGGATGCTCGCATCAGGGAGTCGCGACACAACTGTGCCGAGGGTGGGTATGAAACCTCCGAGTCAAGGCCAGTTCCCGACTTCCAAGGTGCCAGGTGGGTGCGGGTGTTCTCAGCTTGTGCAGGGACGCGTTCTTCAAAAGCGGGGGTAAAGCCGTGGAGAGAGCGGGCGCGGAACTCCGGACCTGGTCAGTATTGGTGATTGTTCGAGTGGTTGGAAGAGTCGCAGTCACGCGGAAACCATGTCGCCAGGTAGTTAATGATGTTTTATTTTTGCGGAGTTGGCTGTTTGCTTTTGGGAGTCAACTATTGAAGGACCACCGGTTGCCACGCGGTGCGTAGTGGGGAAGTCGGCCACGGCTGACGACTGGTCATTACATGACCGTCGCGTGACCTAATCCATTGGAGTACGGCCATCCCTTTTCCTCCCTACAAAACCTCCGACTTAGTCAACAGTTCTCCTCCAATTATTTATCCCTCACCGCTCTAGTGTACCTTTACAAAATACATGTCACTGGAAACTCTCATTACCCGGTACAGTATTATGGCGTTCGGCCCGAAGCGCGGGGGGCATGGAAAAAAAAAATGGGGTAGCAGGCTCTTGCAAAAAACAAATGTGACCACGAAGATATCGCGCCGATGGCTGTAGAGGAAGAAACAAAGGAGCGGGGGGAAGTAGGGAATGGTGAAAAACATCAACACACACAGCCACTGCCATATCATCCTTCACGACCTGAAGGTCGTCCTTAACCACTATCACGGTGGTCGTCAGGGTGCAGCGGAGGTGCCCTAGGTGATAAAATCAGTGAGGCTGCCCGGCGTACGAGGTGAAAAGTCCTGCAGAAATACAATTGCACCAGTCACCGTTTATCACTAATTATGATCGCAACGTCCCACAGCCCCATTACCAGCTCCGCGTAGGATTCATGCTCCAACGCCGCCGTCAGCTTCACCACATGCGTAACCAAAGCCCTCATCTCATCTCCTCCCACTGCGCGGGGGGAAGCAATCATGCTTCTTCAGACCCCTCTCCTGCTTGCTAGCCACCTCGACCACAGCAGCACCGTCCTGGCCAGCGTCGCAATATGCTCTTTCGGCGCAAACGTGAGCCCGGCCAGGTACTAGTAGCTCGCGTGGAGCGTAAACACGACGTGTTTCCATCCATCGGGAGTCCACAGCGCATGCTGCTGACGGCGGCAATGTACGGATTGTGCAACGTCGGGGCGATCGACGTCCCCCCGTGTCTGCGCCGTCCTCCTCCTGGGGCGATCGACGTCCCCCCGTGTCTGCGCCGTCCTCCTCCTGGTTCCCGGCGGCGAAACGCCGCGCCCACTGGCTGTACCACGCTCCCTCTCTTGCCGCGGCGGCGACGCGCTCGACTGGCTCCGGCTTGAATAGCACCACTATCTTTCGGCTCGATAAGGCAGAAGCACCATGTCGAGTCCGGCGTCCACGTGCTCGTTGGTGATGGATGTGCCAGGCGTGATTTTGATATCGAAGGAGCTGTCCTCGACGCCCGGCACTGCGAATCGGGGTGGGACGGTGAAGCTGAGGGTGGCAAAGGTCTCGGAAGACGGCTTGAAGCCGATGAGGTACTTAGCCTCACTACCCAAGTCTGCGACACCAGTGTAGCGATATCCGCAGGAACCATGCGGCCGTTTCGACAAAGACAGGAGCATATAGTACCCGCGTAAGGTGTCGACGTGGAATTCTGGCGCGCCAGTGCGGAAGCGCAGAAGCTAGCTTCAGGTCAGCAGCAGCTCCAAGTACTTATAGGCGCACTGCGCTCTGTGTCCTGTTAATGCCCGCTTGTTGTTGTGTAGCTTCACTGTGCAGCCGAAACTGCGGTGGGGACATGACCCGTTGTGAGTTCGTGGGGTGCGTGTGGGCGACATGGCGTGATGGGGGGCAGTGACAGCTCAAGCAGCCCTATGCCTAGGTATATACCGGGGATGAGATCTGCAGGCTACCTGAAAACTGCCCGAGGCGGCCAATGGAGAAACCGGTCCTGGCTGTCCGGTTTCCTACTGAGAACAGGGCCCATCACCTGGCTAAGCGCAGAGGACAAACCCCAGGCGTTGGTTGCTCTCGAAACATCAACCGGTATACGATTTGTGTGATGGTAAGAGTTATCTGGCATACTACGGAGGAGCGGTGACTGGTGTTAAAGCGAGTGCGCGGATATGTATATGGCACTCGCCATTGAGTTTTGCGGGGCAGATACTGTAGCAACACTACAATATTCCATATAATGCGGCGGTATTCCGTCATGCAGTCGTTTGGAGTATGGCTGTTTCCCAACATGAGCATCACTTAAAATACGCCATTGCCGAAAGGCTGCATGCCGAAAGGAATAATAAATAAATACACAAAAAAAAACCCCATAAAAAAACCACGTTCTGTGGGATACGCACCGAATTGGCAATACATGTTGCGTGACAAAACCAATCAGGCCAGATTGCGTCCCACACCGTATGCGGCATTCACTTTTCTATATCGTTCGATTTCGATCCTATCGAAATTTGGGGACAGGACTGAAATCAGTACATTTGTCTGTGTTCTATCCTGCCGAGCAAACATCCTGACGGCCAACTGGCCGGCCGGCCGAGCACACAATCGACCAAAACACCACAAAAACACAACACAACCACGTATCTGATGGCTCAAAACGTTGAATCTACCGAGGTACTCCTCTCGGATGTCTTTCCAAACTTTTAGAAAAATCGGGGGCCATCAATAACCCGTATGGGCCTCATGACCAAGGATCTACATCTCAACGTTGTGGATATAACAGCCCCAAAATTTCGCAAAGGTGGCCTACCGTGATGAATTTTTTTTGTTCCGGGCTTGTACGATTTTCTGTTACAGGGAGTTGGAGTTATTGTTGAATACCAATATTTGTTTACTCGGCTGGCCGGCGGTACAATTTGCTCGGCAGAATAGAACATATGTATATGATTTAGTGGGGAAGTTCAAATCCTCAACTACCAGTAGAGTGCGAGTACAGTAGGCGTGGAGCACAGTCGCGACTGGACGTCCTATTCGCTTCGAGGATTTGGTCGCGTACGGGCCGGAACCTATACACCTAGACAATCACACCATCTCACGCAGAACCCCAGAAATTATTGGGCTCAATTGAAGCGCAAATCGAGAAAGTCTCACCCTTCCGCATTTTCGGTTCCAATGCGTTGTCCACATGTTGCTCTCTGCATATTGCATTTGCATGTCTGCTTGCATGTTCTACATTCCAGTTGGAAGCCATGCGATCATTGGAATGTATGGTGCAGTGCCGCCGTCATAAGGACCGGCCGGAGATGACGGGCGAATAGGATAGAGCGCTTTGCATATATATCGCATATGCAAGTAGATTCGGGGTGAGGTGGCCGTTGAAGGGTGGGGGTAAACAGCAAAAGTGTTTGGTCACCCCTCACCGAATACTCCACGTGTTTTTTGGCCGGTACATAGAGCGCCACGAGGAGAGATTGGCCACTTGAAGAGCACAGGTGACACAACAGAAAGCCAACTTGGCTTTTGTGGGGGGTCTGTTTCGCACACGCAGGCAGCAGCGCTGTCATGTTAATGAGAGCGGTACTGACGGCGGGCAATAGCGTGGTCAAGAGCCATGAAGAGCTGCGCTGATGCCTTGGATGCAGCCGCATGCATGTCGATCTTCACGGTTCGGGACTGTGTCAAGTACTGACACTGCCTCTCGGGTGTCGCGCGGGCGCGGAGGTGCCGGGTATGTGCTCGGTTTCCTTTGCTTGCCGTTCAGGCGCCAACAGTTCGGTTTGCTTTCGATCTCGTAAAGTATCAGCCAGGAAGGGAGTATAAACACTGCACCCTTCTGCACAGCACCAACGGAACGACGAATTCCAAATCTAACCTCTCTTTTGCAAGAGTTCGTTACTTTTCTCCATGCAGATCAAAAGCCCCCAACCAGCAACTGCAATATCTGCCCTGCCGCAGGAACTTCCTGTCGACCGCCCATACTCCAGAGCCTCCAAGGAGCGCTGCATTCCCACCCCGCCCTCAGGGAATGACCACGTCCATCAAAGACCGCTGCCCGCCAGCCAGTCTCCACAACTCATGAACGGCAACCGCTATCCCCCTCTGGATACCAGTCCGCCAGATTTACGCCCTTCGGTAGATTCGGTGGATTCCATCGCACAGACCACGCCGCCGGCTGTAGAGGCTGAAAAGGAAATCATCATAGCCTTGATTGGAGTGACAGGTCTGTGCTGCCGTCGCTCTGTTCCCCGAGTAGCAGACTATTAACACATGATAGGTGCGGGGAAAAGCTACTTTATCAAGCAGATATCGGGCCTTGCGGGGGTGGAAGTAGGGGATGGCCTTGAATCATGTGTGTTCAAACCGCTTCACTAAGATGAGACTTCCTGCTGACTAGTCAAGGCACCGCAACAGTACAGC